TCTCGTGTTCAAATACCATCAACTCTGTCGTAATCATAATCGCAAGCTTATTTGCTTCTACGATAGCAACTATTTTTGTTTGTGCGATATGGAATCTCGAGCACAATGTCTTCGCTTTAATTCGCATCTAGACGAATGTGATCGCTGTCTGTCTGGTGGCCGATGTCTTCGTGGACATCTTGGTCGATTTACAGATTTTACATGCATATGTACTCGCTGTCTGCATGGCAGCGTGTGCCAATATTCAACTGCATTACTGAGTTTCACACTCGATTCACTTATTGTGACAGATATTCAAGCTAGTCATCGTTTGTCAATGATTGTTTACATCTCTCTGGTATGCGTAATGTTTCTGATTGGTGGTTTCAATAACCTATGTAGTTTTGTTACATTTATCCGAAATAAACCGCGCAAATTTGGCGTCGGCAATTATCTTCTTATTGTGTCGATTGTCAATCAAATCTCGTTGGCTTTTCTTGTCATCAAAGTTGTCTACACCGTGCTCGGTAGCAGCGGCATGCTATCTAATCGTGTATTCAATATGATAATGTGCAAATCAGTTTCGTACCTTCTATCGGTTTTTACTAGAATCAATTACTGGATAACAAGTCTTGTTACTTTTGAACGTCTTTGCACGATTCTTGTACCGTCAGCTGAAACAATCAAAAAGCCTTTCGTTGCTTTACTTCTAAGCCTAATCATAATCTTGTCTATTTTTGGCATGCATATTCATGAATTTATTCATTATACGGTTATCACTGATCCGAAGTCAAACAGCAGTGCTACTCTGTGTACAACTAATTTTGATCAACGTACTTGGTTAATTTTTAATCAGATCAATGTACTCGTGCATCATTTTGTCCCATTTTTCACTCAAATCTTCTGCATCACTTTTCTTATCAGTCTTGTTGCACGTAGTCGAGGTAAGATGTTCGGTGGTCATATGACTTTTCGCCGAACATTAGAGAAACAATTCAAAAGACAAAAGGAACTTTACATTACACCATTTATCATTGTCTTCTCTGCTCTTCCGCAAACCATTATATCGTATAGTTTTTCTTGCACGGAATTCAGTCATAGCTGGAAACAGTATTTGTTGCTTGGTGCCTATTTTATTTCATTTGCACCACAAATTCTTGGTTTTCTCCTATACGTTTTACCTTCAAGTATGTACAAAAAAGAATTTGGGCGGACGAAGATAGGTTCCATGATGTCAATGACGGAGGAGAGTTAAATGATGAATACGAAGATAAACGAACAACTTAAATCAAAAGGAAGAATTATGTAGATGAGTGTAAACTATTTGATTTCTTCATTTATTTGTGTCCGTTTTTGCTTTCTTTTGTATCTGTTAAAATATTGCGTCCATTAAATCTACTAAATCAGCCTAACATTCTACTACTGCGTAAGAACTGGTGCCGGGTGTGGATATGGGTGTGGGTGTGGGGTGTGGGTGTGGGTGTGGGCGGTTATTCCTTTCACTACACCCACACCCACACCCAGAAGTGTCAGTATAATATCATCATAAGTTGAATGTGAATCATTGTTGATAACCTGTCGTACCAGTTGAATATTTATATCTGTAAGCTCAGAAAGCGGACGACCGGATCGAGAGTCATTATTAATGTCTCTTCTTTCATGAAAACGCTTTGTTCACCTTGTAATTGTTGGATATGGTAGAGCGTTAGCTCTCCCAATACTGTTGTAAGTTCTTTGTGCATTGTCTTTGCACCTATTACCAATATAGTCCGAATTTTTAATATAATATCGACTGAATTCATTATCTATTTTTCAAAATTTCTTTTAGTAGGAATTGAATTATATCCAAAAGAATCTTATAACTAAATTCAAAAGGGAGTTTTTATATATGTTACTATAGACAAGACATTCTACTATTTATTCATGCAACAAATTCTTCAATGTTAACTAGTTCTTTACGTTAAACAGCATCTCTGAAAAAAATCGTTTTTAGGAATATGTAACAAGATCTTCTTATCGTGCGGATTGAGGTTGTTTTAATTAATAATAGAAAAATAGACTACATGAAAATTTCGGTAGACACGTCATTTATTGGCTTCCCATCAAAGATTTGCTTTCTCTCAATGAGCTAACTTTAGATTTACAAAAAAATTCTGAATATATTGATTGATAGGTTAGGATATGTTTTAAACGGTTTTGAGTGAAGTATTCATTCCATTGTAAGATTTTAGCAGTTCGTTTCAATAAAATTGACATATTTAAACAGTCAGTTTACTAATTATGAAAATTTTATTTCTTTTTAATTAATCATTGAACTGATTATCATTGTTAAGAAATCGTTTGAAAGAACAACATATCACATTTTTATTGATCAATACAATTCAATTTTTTTTAAAAAGTATTATTAAGAAAATATATTTAATTATTTTATTGGTGGTTCTCGACTTGACTTCTGCGTGACCATGATTTTTTGGTCACGTCACGTCACGGTCACGAGCTAACTGGTAATGGTCACGTTCATGGTCACGAAGATTTTTCCAAACTAGTCACGGTTACGTCACGGTCACGAGCTAACTGGTCACGGTCACACTCATAGTCACGAAAATTTTTCTAAACTAGTCATGGTCACGGTCACAGTCACGATTATAGTCATGAGAGAATTATGGGTTCTTTAACAGTTACAGTTACAGTCAATGACACTAAAATAATTTTACCAACAAACGACATCTACAGATGATTATTACAATTGATAATTTTTCCTAAGCAGATATTGGTTTATGAAAATATCCAATTAAACTCTATGCTAGTGATTTTCAATTGATGTCAATAGGTTAAATTGTCGTCAAAAATAATCTCTTACCGATCTGATACACAGTATTTCTAGGGTGGCTGGGTGGGGTGTGGGTGTGGGGTGCGGGTGTGGGTGTGGGTGTGGGTATGTGGGTGTGGGTGTGGGTGTGGGTGGGTGTGGGTGTGGGTGTGGGTGTGGGGTGGGGTGTGGGTGTGGGTGTGAGTGTGAATGTGAAAAACAAAACCCACACGCACATGCATACCCACACCCACATCCACACCCACCACCCACACCCACACCCTCATGATTGATTATATGTCTGTTATGAATGTGTGAAGATAATTTTTTTGTCCTTTCTGTGTTGCGAAAAATTATCAATTTGTACTGATTGAATTTGTGAAAATGAATATTTCTGTTCCTCGCTCGCGTTGAATCATATTTTACTTTGTGTTCGAAATGAAATGCCGAATTAAGTGTCTGAAAATGTAAAGATAATTCGTTCTGAATATGTCGTTTGTCGTTTACTATGGTTTTCCTTATGTCGGTGCGTGAATTTCTGAATAATGCGTAAATCGTTGAAGTGATCTTATAGATGTGTGAAAAGATGCAACTGAAATGATTGTTACAAATCATATTATTGATTGTCATGTGTATCCTTTTATTTTCACTGATTCATGAGGTTCAAATGATGAACTTATGAGTGTATTCTGTTCTTTTTTCTTTTCTTCACTTGTTATCCTTGTTTCTTTTCCGTTTTTTTTCTATACTGTACAGATGCTCAGCAGCGCGTCTCATATGAGTGGGAGGGTGTGCCGATATTGATGGCACGTTCCGATGATTTTCCTTTCCTCTTTCCTCTTTCCTCTTCATCCTCTCTCTACTGTTCTTTCTTATGCTCATCTCTTTCTTTCTCTCTCCTATATAAGCGTGTATTGTATATGAAGTAGTTACATTCTGGAGATGTGAAGTAGCTAAATAAAATATCATTACCGTGGGTGACGGTAAGCTGCTTCATCCAGTTTGTCGTTACAATGTTCATCGGAAAAAGATCTATTAGATGGTTTAAATTTGAATGAATTAGTAGCCGTATGGAGTACAAAATCAAGACATGTTTTGGTTTAATAGACACTTGAATTATCTCGATATTTATCATTTGTAGTTTTATTTTTTGCTTTTCCATTTTGTTTAACGTGTATTATTTTCAAAGTTACTGAAAAGTAGTTGTATTTTTATTTATGATGAAATTAATGTAAATGTGAGTAAATTAAAGCTTATCGTTTATCTTCAACTAAATTAATAAAGAAACGAAAACATAGAAAAATCGAACAAACCATTGGATGATATTATAAATCTATAACCTGAGGTTCGGATAAATAATATTTTTGAAGACTGCCGCGTCATGTTACGTCAAAGAGATGATATATAAAGTTTCACATGCGGAGAAGTAAAAATTGTCGTTTATTAGAGAGTTCATTTGAAAAATTGACTACCAGAACAAGACATACGACATTGACTTTTATATAGTAGGACCCCCCCCCTCTCCCCACTTTTTTCCTTTCGGCACATCCCTGCGATTGTCTATTACGCATTTACGTAATACGTGACATAATGCTTGAAAATTCTTTTTCCTTCATAGTTTATATCGATACGTTAAAATCATTTTACTGTAGAAGGCCCTTTCTACAAGAGGAACGATCAAAATGCACGCAATAACCTTCTGTTGCGTATTTTTTCCTATTCAGCTCATTTTCTAGTCGATATCAAAAGAGATTACATATCCTACAAAAATCGAACAAACTATACGGACATAATATCATGATTTTATCACAGCCATAAGTCAACAAAAAGGAGAAATTGATTAAAAAAAGATTAATACATGATCTTTTGTATCGTTCTATATTTCGCAAGTTACATGAAACTGTTTACATGTTTTTGCTCTTTCAACTTTTCTCTCAACGTTCTTCGCGTTACTTGCCTAGTTTCTTTTATCTGTTCGTTCTTCGCGTTACTTGTCTAGTTTCTTTTATCTGTTCCTTCTTCGCGTTACTTGGCTACTTTCTTTTATCTGTTCGTTCTTCGCCAAGCAGAGAACATCACTGCCGTTAATAACAAGAAACGAGAGAAAGAACACGAGCGCTGTATTTATTCTTCTTTCGTACCCATTGCAATACATGTGAATAAATTGTGTGGCTTATTTCCTTCGGATCTCTTTTATGAAGAATAACTCAACATGGAACAAGTAGTGAGCTTTTAATTGATGAACTATTATATTACCAATAATTCATCGAAACGATCTATTGATATTGTTTATTTAAATTTATTTTCTAATAGAAATCGGCACTCAAACCAGTTGAAACAATCGTTACTGAAAACACGGACGACATCATTGCAGGCGATTTAGAAGACAAAAGCAATAAACAAAATTCATCTGAAGCAACAAATGGATCGATATCATCTGAAAACAATGCATCAGAATCGAAAGGCACAGATCCTGGACAAATGAGAATTCGTAATATTCCAATGGTAAATTCGAAAATTTCAGTTGATCTTTACCTATGTATCGTTATAGCTAGAAAATGCTCAAGGAATCAAACAGAGATTTTATCATCATTTACATTTTACCGTTGTCAAAGATCGTGATATAGCTAGCAATCATGATTATTATACATCGATGGCTTATACAGGTTCGTTTAAAATAAATTCTTATTCATTTTCTTTAGTAACTTCTTATTTTAGTTCGTGATCATCTTGTTGGTCATTGGATTCGTACAAATCAATATCATTTTAAAAATGATGAAAAGGTTTTGCGTTAAGCTGAGTTCGAAATCAAGTATCCATTTGATTTTTTTAGCGCGTCTATTATGTATCTTTGGAATTTCATATGGGACGAGCATTATCAAATTGTATGATTAATTTAGGCATTAAGAATACTGTCGATGAAGCTCTTTATCAAATGGGTTTGAATGCTGAAGAATTAGAAGAACTTGAAGCAGATGCAGCACTCGGCAATGGCGGTCTTGGTAGGTTAGAATTTATAATAAACCATATGATTCAAACCGAACAAAAATTGTCGGTATATCGCCGATACTTATGAGCACGGCGGTATACCTATGGTAGTGTGAACAAACATGCAACATGGGAAGTGTTTTAATAATTCTCGATATTGTAAATCGTTTTTGAAAAATAATTACTTTCTTGCCAATTGATTTTAATCATTCAAAAAAGATAACTATTAGTTGAATCTGGAGTTATGTATGAATCTCTACAATTTGGACGTTTTGCATTGAATTCCACATATGAAAATAGGTTTCATCGGAAGAAAAAAAAATCTAGACAACATAGAAAGCTCAGGATAATATTCTAGAATTGATTAGAATATCTTTTGGATCTTTCTAATAACTTTTAAGCTTAGCAGATTGCCATATCTTTTGTTTTCTGGCGTGTTATTGAATTTATCGTAAAAAGTCTCACAGATTAAACTCACTAGGAAATCCAGCTTACCACACTATAAAACAAAATTATACTGGAACTTTTTTTGTCGACCAGTGATTTTTATATGAAATTATTGAGTGAGTGATTAATTATTTTCAGGACGATTGGCTGCTTGTTTTCTCGATAGTATGGCTACATTAGGACTTTCCGGATATGGTTATGGCCTTCGATATGATTATGGTAGAGATTAAAAGAAGATTTTTCACGAAAATATTGTCTTGTTTAAGGTATTTTTCAACAAAAAATTACAAATGGCTATCAAGATGAATATCCAGATAATTGGTTAAGGTATTGAACAAAAAGTTTAATTCTTGTGAATCTATTATGAATTTTATAGATTTTCAAATCCATGGGAAATAGCTCGACCAGAACATCTTATACCTATTCGATTCTATGGTAAAGTTATTAATGATGAAAATGGAAAAAAGAAATGGATCGATGCAGACATTGTTCATGCTACGCCCTATGATACACCCGTAAGAATGAAACTCTACTAAAAAAATCTCAAATATGTGTATTATTAATACTTGTTGAAAATGATCATTTGACAGAGATTCATTTCTAACAGAAATTCTTTGATTGAGTCGCTAAGTTCGGCTTAGTATTATTAGATTGTTTCATGAAATACGCGAAATCTCATCCAAAATGAAACATTTTTGATTTTCAAAAAATTATGAGTTCGACAATAGCATCGAATATCATGTTGAAAATTTTTTACATTTGTTTTTGTGGAATAGATTGAAATTAAACAGATGTTTATATCATGAATATAGTATCTAGGGGAAAAAATTCCAAAGAATTCAAGCAGACAATGCAGAAGTTTTGTTAATACTTATTTCACTTGGTTTTGTGAAAGTATTGACATGTGCAGAATGAAATATGTAAATCTATGTTTGCGATAAAGGACAGATTTTACAAAAGGATTGTATAAAAAAATCGGTGCACTTATAATATCCAACATTTTTTAGGGATCAAAACTGATAGTCATCATCTTTTATGTACAGTTATGGTTGAAAAAAATTCAATGGCCTCTAATTGTGATAGTTACTATTCATATTGCCGAAAATATGCTACTTTCAAAGCACTGATGTAATCTATTATAGAATAAGATAACTTATTTTCATTTTTAGATACCTGGTTATAATAATAATGTAGTTAATACATTACGTTTATGGTCGGCAAAAGCTCTAGGTGCATTTAATTTTCAATTATTTAACTCCGGTGATTACGTTCGTGCTGTTGCTGAAGAAGTAAAAAAGATTTAAAAATTCTTTCATTGACTCGTTTCTTATTTTTGTTTTATAGAGTTTAGCAGAAAATATTACTCGAGTATTATATCCAAATGATAATGTAAATAGATACGTTTTGAATATTTATTTAATCTGTTTGTTTGCTTTATTTGTCGTAGTTTGATCAAGGAAAAATTCTTCGTTTAAAACAAGAATATTTTTTAGTATCAGCATCATTACAAGATATTATTCGACGTTTTAAAGATTCAAAATCATTTTCACTTTCAAATCAAAAAGTTGATTTTACATATTTTCATGAAAAAACAGCTATTCAATTAAATGATACACATCCAACATTAACTATTGCCGAACTAATGCGTTTATTAATTGATGAAGAAAATATTGAATGGAATCAAGCATTTGAGATAACAAAAAAAACTATTGCTTATACGAATCATACTCTATTATCTGAAGCACTTGAACGATGGTCCATTGAAGTGATGAAAAAACTTTTACCACGACATTTTGAAATTATTACAGATATTAATTTACATCATTTGGATGTAAGAAAACATTGAAATAATACGAAAAAAATATATTGATATATTTGCTTTTTCTTATGACGTAGCTTGTGAGAAAAAAATGGCCAGGTGATGAAGAACGTGCTAAGCGTATGTCAATTATTGGAGAGGAAGAACAAGTAAGAATATGAAAATGTCAGATATAAAATGAATGATCACTAAACACGTCAGTGCGTAATGAGTGATAGAGAGTTAAGGTTTATGCGTAATAGATAGTGCTCTTATCCCAAAAGCTATTTTATCGATAAGACAAAGTGTAATCCTAATAATCTCATCTGATTGAAATGATCCCATTAACTGTGAAGACTCATAAAGAATTTGCATGAGTGGGTGTCGATAAACAGAAGATTCAGATCCACACCTAAATAGAACTTGTAGAATGCAGATGTAAAAATTCTCTTGGGCTAGCTATTCTATGCGATAATCATGTGTTTCGAACGGGTCGGTCAGAGCGGCCGATAGATCGTTTGGTATAATGTGCGCTATAAGGCGGTATTCCCCATTAGACAAAAGAAACCACCGGTAGTGCGAACAAATGTGTGACATAGCTATGTATCAAATTAAAGATAAAACTCGTAATGCATCATTGGGAAAACAAAATTCCAGACCGCCAAAAGAAAGTTTGAGCAGCATTGCTACCATGATTTTTGCGTAACATTATGCTTCTGTTTCTACTATTTATTCTACATTGGGTAATTGTTTTGTCTTAATCTATTTTTGTATAAGTATGATTGTCATTTCTTTTACTATCTGTTATTGTATTAATTGTAAAGGACACCTGTCGATAAGGCCACTTTTCTCCCCAAAATATTTTCAGAAAATAACTATATGGGAGTAACAAAGTTGATATGGGCTACAAATCTAGCATAGTGATTTTCCTTGAAATCATTTCCGGGTGTGGGATGTGGGTGTGTGGGTGTGGGGTGTGGGTTGTGGGATGTGGGTGTGGGTGTGCGTGTGAGTGTGGGTGTGGGTGTGGGTGTGGGTGTGGGTGTAGGTTCATTTCTTTCTTCAGCCACACCCTTCCACACCCACACCACCACATACCCAAACCCAAACTCACACCCACACACCACACCCACACCCACCCAAACCCACACCCTCTTATTAAAATGACTACAGAAAATTCTGCAGTTAATACTTATTAAACATATGACCATGTATGGTAACATGTTAGATTTTCTTTACAGAAGACGAAACCTACCTTTCGTACTATTAACAATGTTCATACGAAAACATAGTTGATAACAGATTTCAAATCGACTAATTTTCAAATCTTTTGTTAAAAAAGGCTTGTTATATTTTGTCAATTTTTTAATTATTTCCTAATTGGTTAGGGTCATATAACTTTACTTGACAAGCGAATTTCAATTTTCTTAGAGCCAAACAGGTATGAAGTGTGAAACATTTCATTCACGATCCCGTGTTTCTTTTTGATAGTTTTCGTTGTTCTATTCTATCGTGTAGGGCAAAGAAGCATATCTCTATTTTAATAGCATAGCCAGAAGCAGTACTCAAAAGTAGTTTTCTCTTATAAAAATCTTTAAAATACCATGGCAACAGGTAAAAGCTACACGACGAAGAGCTCACGAGGGGTTGAACCATTATAGAGAACAGCTTCGAAGTAATTGAGTTACTCTTAGAATCTTTTTCTAGTTATCTCTCTATTTCAATTTAGGAACTTCTTGTTAGAAATACTGGAGGAAAGGGTTAGCTCAAGTAGCAATAACTTAGGCCAGAGTCTAATAAAGGCTGTCAATCTTCATCGTACTAGCTACGATTAACTTCAAATCGACTAGAACTATTTCCAGGTCAAAAATCAGACGTAAGATCTTTCACAACACATTGAATCGTATGAAAAACACACGAGAAATCGTGGTCTCTGTAAACCCTACATGAAGTCTCGGCGTACGATCTTTTCGAAAGACCATATAAGATCTTGTAAGAATCGTATTGGCCAAGATTTTATGTAAATTTTGCAGACATCACGCATGCTCGTACGCTTTCATCTGATTTTTAAAAGATCGTACAAGATCAGATATGAATCATGTAAGATCTTATTGTTTGACCTGAATATAATAGAGAATGTTTGAGCTAGAACTCGTCTAAGTCTCATACTAGAACTCATTCATATTGATAGACGTCAAGTTTCATAAAACATATTGCGCAATTTTTTATCAATCTCTATTTCCTCGTTTTTCATTCCAGGTAGTCAAAATGGCTTATTTATCTGTAGTCGGGTCACATGCAGTTAATGGTGTAGCTCAATTACATAGTAGTTTACTTAAATCTACACTGTAAATATGCTTTCCTTTATTTCATCTCAAGTTGTTCTTTTTTCGAACTTTTTTTTTATAATTAGATTTAAGGACTTTTATGAGCTTAATCCAGAAAAATTTCAAAATAAAACAAATGGTGTAACACCACGTCGTTGGCTACTTTTATGTAATCCAGATTTGTCTAAACTTATTTCAAGTAAAATTGGTGATGATTGGATTACAGATTTATCAGAATTAGCAAAATTACGCGCTTATATTAACGATGAACAATTTATTCGTGATGTTCAGCACGCCAAACTTGTATGTTTATTTCTTAATTCTAGGGAAATATTTTGAAAAAAAAATTTCAATTATTTCTAGGAAAATAAAAAGCATTTAGTTAAAGTTCTTCAACATGATTTTAATATAAAAGTTAATCCAGATACAATATTTGATGTACAAGTAAAACGTATTCATGAATATAAACGGCAATTGCTAAATTGTCTTCATGTTATTACACTATACAATCGTATTAAAGATAATCCAAATATTGATATTGTATCACGTACAGTTATTTTTGGTGGAAAGGTTAGAAACAAAAATGTTTATTTTAATGAATAAAGATTAATTCTTTCTTTTAGGCTGCACCTGGTTATCTACTGGCGAAATTAAGTAAGTTAAAAGGACAAAAAAACATTGCAAGATAATTTTGTTTTGGTTTTAGTTATCAAGCTAATATGTAATGTTGCACGTATAGTCAGTAATGATTCAGCAGTTGGTGATCGTCTGAGAGTTATTTTTCTTGAAAATTATCGTGTTAGTCTTGGTATGTATATCATAATAAAAAACTTTTAGCTTAATTCTTATATGATAAAAGTATGAAACACAAAATAATTGCTGTTATTCATCGAAAGCAAAGACGAAAGAATACCTCTGCCTTTTGCCTAATTTACGGCAGATTCCATAGCGCAATATCTTCCCTACAGCTAATATTGGTTACAGCTCTGGATAGTATGTCAGTCTGATGCAGAATTTTTGTGCTCGATTGGTTGAGCTCACCAAACGCACTGGTCCGAAGAGCAGATGTATATCACTACGTAGTCAGCATACTATCGGATGGGTGATCGAGACAAATAGCCGTTAGTGAATTGTCCAGCGTTATCTCCATGGTTGGTGATACTGAGGTTTGAACACAGTACCTTTTAGACACGAAGCGAACAACGCAGGCATTCAATCATGGGTGTTATTAATAGAAAGACTTGTTTGAAGAAATCGGCTTAAGTCAAAATTGTATATTTAATTCGATACTTTGTTCGAATTGTCAGGCAAATTTAAATCAATATTATCCTAGAACTCTTAGCTTTGTATACGCTGTGTGACACAGTCTGTGTTGTATTCAAAAATCTTGTCTTTTATTTCAATACTTTGAGCAGCTCAAAAGATATACATGATGCTTTTGCAAATTGATCATGTGTGCATCTCTCTGAATGTTGTCCATTTATTACACCTCAAAAAGTTTAACCCGAGCCTCATAAAAAAAGAGAAAGAACTACTTGAGCGAAACTTTTTCTATTCGACATGGAACTATTGAACTTGTCTGAACTTCTAATCTCATACTGAGCTTTGATTAAAAAAATGCGTTTGTTTTCAGTAACTGATTCTAGTTTCTCAAAAAATCTATATTTTTTTGTTTTAAGCTGAAAAAATTATTCCGGCCGTTGATTTATCTGAACAAATATCATTGGCTGGTTTGGAAGCATCAGGTACAGGTAATATGAAAATGATGCTCAATGGAGCATTAACTATTGGTACATACGATGGTGCAAATGTTGAAATAGATGAAGAAGTTGGACGTGATAATATATTTATATTCGGTATGACAGTTGAAGAAGTTGATGCATTACGTGAAAAAGGGTAAAAGTCATATTGGTATATACATTGATTCACGAAATAATTCAACAATGCTTATTTTCAATTTTTTTTCTACTATCTTAAAAGTTACTTGTAACAAAAAATATACGAAAAGGAAAATGATAAGCGAATTCCTAAAGATGAGATCTCCCGGTGACCGAAACTCTAATTTGTCAGTATTTAGAATGCCGCATTTTCATTATGTTTATACTACCTAAAACAGTGGAGCAAGCACATCTCTACAAAATAAGACGCCTCCGATTTCTTTGCGACGTTTTCTAATTGCGATGCAATCGGGGTACGCATGACTACAAACGTAGTTTGTTTTGTTTTTGTTCTACGAGAAATGTATTAGTGAATGGTCCATCAGATTGCTGTATCTCAAGCAAATAACGTAGTAAAAAACTCGCAGACGTTTCGTTTCTTGGAGAACTATTTGTTCTACCATCTTATTTACTCTCAGCAAAATGATAGCCACACGTTCTAGATGCTGAACAACTCGAGTTTGGTTTTTCTCGAGGCTTCATCTTTAGGAATTCATTAATAGTGTTTCTTTTCGTATAAGTTTTCTCTACTTGAAGCACTGAACGGAATCTTTTTGGAATTTGAGACAGGCGAAAACAATTGAAAGGAAGCCTCGTTGAAATGATTTTGATAACTGCTGTATATGTTATGTTTCATTTGAAATTGAATTTTTAAAATAAATAATATAGATACAAATCGAAGGAATATTATGAACGTGAGCCGGAATTAAAACGAGCATTAGATCAAATACGAGATGGATTTTTTTCACCTGAAGATCCGAATCTATTTGCTGATATTATTAAAAATCTATTTGAACTCAATGATCAGTAAGTTAAAAGCTTTCTTTCGAATAAAATATTTCTTATTCTATTTTATAGTTATATGCTGCTTGCAGATTATGCCGAATATGTGAAAGCACAAGAACGTGTTGAACAACTTTACAAAGTATAAACAAAAAAAACTTTTCTTTTTTCTTTTTGTTTATTTCTTAGTTTTAATTTAGAATCAAATTGAATGGACAAAAAAATGTATTTTAAACATAGCTGGATCAGGCAAATTTTCATCGGATCGAACGATTCGTGAATATGCTAAAGACATTTGGAATGTTACGCCATTAAAACCAAAATTACCAGGACCTCATTATGACCCACCAGGCATTAAAAATAAAATCGAACAAGTTGAAATGACTCAATCGAGTATTCGACGTGAAGATTATTAAAAAAGGCATACAAGTTGTCGTATGGCGAACAGATTAATAAGAACAACAGAAAAAGAAAAAAAAGTTTTATTCTAGTATATATGCATGCAAATTCTTACATTTTATATAAATCAGCCTTTTCATTATTTTATATTTCTTAATCAATTGTACTCGAGAACATATTATTAAAAAAATTGCACTTAATATTAAAGACTAATTATAAGGCACATCGGCTTGTCCAAACGTAACGCTGTTACGTTTTTGACACACCTTTTGTCAATTATCTCAGAAACTGTGAGAGCTAGAAAGTTCGTTCAAACGCCATTCGACGCAGCTCATCATGGTCTATTTATGCTATAAAAAAGAAGTTTCTAGGTAGAAGTCCCAAGTTTCCAGAAAGGTTTTTGTGTCGCGTAAAGCTGTTATATAAAAGGACCTCAAACTTGGAGTCCTTTTGCTTAAATTCTAATTTCCTGCGAAAGTTGACCTCCAAATAAAATGCACCCAGAGCAAATTTTGTAGAGCATCAAACGAGCTTTTCAAAGGTAAAAAACGTTTTCATCTAACTATTTTTACTCACGTAATGAAACCAAAAAACAAACGTAACGCTGTTACATTTGTTTTTCGTAGATTGATATCTTCTTTTTTATTGAATCTAGATTCGTCTGAATCGGTTGTTTTAAATTCTAAACAGACGTTTCTGCGATTCTAACCACTAAAGATTGCGTCGGCACCTAGAGACACTTCGTACGTCTCTATGAGGCTCAAAATTTCCTGCTGCAGTAAAATGTACTTCTGCTATAGGTTAGAAGCATACTCACGAGGAAACATTTTCAACTGCCCGATCGCTTTTGGGTTTGGATTCTGTGCATAATGTAGACCCAATTGAGCTATGAAAGAGCCTAAAAAGATAAATGCCCTTAGGTCTCCTGTCCATAGTTATAGGCATTTTACTGCAATTTTAGCCTATGAGATGGTATATACCAAACAAATCGAATTATGGTATTTCGGGTTGAGATTATGCGTACAAACAGATCTATTTGTGAGTAAAATGTCCTGAAAATTTCAGCTTAAAAAAACGTTTCCTTCCTGAGATATCAAAGTCCCAAAAATGGCTCATATCCCACAGAAGATGCTAGAATTTATTGCTTTTGGGACTTTAATATCTCGGGAAGAAAACGTTTTTCTGAGCTGAAATTTTCAAGACATTTTACTCACAAATAGACCTGTTTGTCGGCACAATCTCAGGGCAAAATACCATAATTCGATTTGTTGTTATATACCATGCCATAGGCTAAAATTGCAGTAAAATGCCTATAAGTCTGGACAGAAGATCTAAGGGCATTTATTCTTTTGGAGTTTTCCATACCTCAATGAAGTCTACATTATGCACAGAGTCCGAAATCAAAAGCGATTGGGCAGTTCAAAACGTTCCCTCAATATGTACGAGTTACTGTGTCTAAAGTTAATCATAGCCAGAAACATTGGAAAATAAACAAAAATTAGGGATTTTTAGAAAGATTTGCCACTAGTTAAGTAAATCGAAGGTCAAAATCAAGTTTGAATTCAATACGGTCGCTATCTGTCTCTTGTAATATTCAAATTATTGTTCAATTATATAAATTGAAAATAGTACCAAAATCAGGTTTTCGTAATAGCGGGTGTGTGTGGGTGTGTGTGGGTGTGGGGTGTGGGTGTGGATGTGTGGGTGGGTGTG